CTACACACACACACACACACACACACACACACACACACACACATATATATATATATATATATGGATCGATAACAATGCTGCATAGATTCAATTACAAAAACCTATGAATACGACAAGTGCATAGAATCTATATAAATACATAAATGGTGAGGAAAGACGTACGTATATCGAAGTTCAAACGTATTTGACAACCCATAACCAAATATATGTATGTCTTGTGGTGACTGACAATACGAAACCTATACGAACTAGAAGTTTGCCTCTATATCCTCGTGAGGCTATGCACCCTATATCGACCGCATGCCTGTGCGGGGCATACGCTTTGGAATAAATCTTTGAGCACAAACACATAAAAAATGAAGTGCGTTCAATGACCATACACAGCAGGCTGATATTTCTTTTCATGAAGCATTTTCCGTACTGTGCCCATCCGATTTAGGGTTTTAGGGTTTTAGAATTGTAAGGTTTTAGAGTTTAGCCTTAACTTTGGGTGAAGTGCAGCCAAGCTCTCGCACAAACCTACCCGCCTCACCTTAACTCTTGACCTTATGCACCGATTTATAGAGTTTTGGGCCCAGAGAGAGGAAGGGGGGTTCCTAAAACCAGGTTTTTTGTCTTTGTGGATGAACCTACCTGCTCCAATTTCTTTTGTCGCTTCAGCTTCATACGTTCGAGTGGGGTGAGTTTCTTTGGCGCCGCAGCAGCCACCAATGCCACACCAACTGTCCCTTTGTATTCACGCACACTCCTACTGCCTCGAGATGTGGGACGGGGCCTAGAGGGTGCATATATGTACGTTAATATACACATGTATAGACATGTATAAACATGTAAACACATGATAATACATATATATATATATGTATATATATATATACACACACAAACACACACACAAACACACACACACACATATACATAAACACAATAAAAAAAAAGGTAAGACCATTCATACCTATTCTCATCGGAATCGGATCGCCCAGCCATATCGCTCTGATTTGGTTTCTGTGTATATCAGAATGACATCGTTAAGTGTCAACACAGAACTAATGCTGGACGAGAGATAAGAAACAGCATAGCTTGTCCATTATATACATAGATGCACATACATAAATGCCTATATATATA